GAAATGTGGATTCAAGCATAAGTAGTATTCTCTAATAACGTAAATGAGCATGTGATTCATATTTTGAATCTGCTATTTCTGAGACAAAGAGATAAAGTGGGCCAATTCCTGGTGCTGGTATGATCGGCGCCCTCGGCTCAAGCTGACACATGTCCACACGACAAGGAAACGCAGGCGTGACACTGAGCCACCGAGTCCCTGCAAGGACCCAGTCACTGGCGCAGACGGTAGGCCACTCTCCCGCCAGCCCAGCGCCAACGCCCTTCCAGGCAGGTCAGAGGGAACGGGAAGATTCCCTCCCGATCCTACTTTAAACTCCATCTCCAATGGCGGGTTCTGGAACAGAAAGGAGGGTTTACGGAAACAGACTGCAGCGAGCGTGCGGACTGCAGACACCTGCACGCCGACCCGGGCGCCCAGCGGCTCCCTCTCCGCTTGGGACCCGCTACATCGCAGACAACGTTTCATTACACAAACGCCTTCTTTCTCTCAGCGTCTCTGTTATTTAGGGCTTTATTCTTAGCGCAGGAATAAAGGTGTAAGCGTCGGCAACTCTGAGCTGAAACTCAATGCGAGGGAGAGGAGAGGACAGGAAGGAGTAACGTCTGTCTGATGCCCAGGAGCCTGTGTGTGCGTGGAAAGAGAACATTACTTCATGCAGGAAAAGTGGACTCAGGCGGAGTGACAGTCAGAATGCTCAGCCCGGGTCCTCGGGGGCACCGGGCCGCGGTGCACACACTTACTTCACCCAAGGCTCACTCTGCGCATCTGCTCTCCGCACTGTCCCTGGCTCCTGGTGACGGAGGCTCTGACAGGTCACGGGGTACAGAGTGAAGCCATGTGAGGTCAAGCTAGTGACGTACTAGGAGGCACCATGACATGAAAGCGGAAAGCAGTGAGTTTAGGGCTCAGCTGCGTGCTCTCCCGGAGCGGTCCCTGCCTCGGCCCCCGCCTCCCCTGCCTGTGCCGCCTCGGGACAGCTGTGCGATGAGACCACCGTCTTCCACGAGTAAACATGCCCCCAGTTCTGTGCTGGTCTTGGTCACACGCTATGGGGTTTCTGAGGGCGGGGAGGTTATTGCCAGGCACGGCAGGGCCTCTGTGCACACGAGTGAGCTGCAGAAATCCGTGACTGCTCCCCCAGCCGCCCCAGGTGAGGTCAGCCTGGCCCCAGAGGCGCGGAGCACTTCCCAGGAGCTCTGGCCGGATGGGTAACCCGGGCACGTCCTTGCCGTCGCTCAAGGCGACTGGGTTGAGAACTGCTGCTTCCTGTCAGGAGGTCCGTGTCATTTCCCATCACTCCCAGCGCCACTCGCAGCCCTGAGTGTCCATGGGGTACTCGGAGGTAGGTTCAGGTTCTTTACATCCTTTCTACATTCAATTTTGTAACTCTTTCATTGTCCTACTGAGTGTTTTTTAACTAAATTAGCATGGCTCGCATGAACCGCCCGCTCCTGCGGCAGCCGCATACAAGAACATGAGCTTTCTTATTACACGCAGGCCAACCCACGCGACCTCAAGCAACTCACAGGGGAACTTAGAGGTATGGCGCCACCACAGTAGTGAGAGTGTGCAGAGCAACGTCTGGCACTCCTGTTGGGGGGAAGAAGGCTCCGTGCTCTTGACTGGCCTTCGGTGATGGCGCCACCATCCAACCAGATGGGTGATGACAGATAAGCCTTGTAACAACGAAGCTTCGTGAAACTGGGGGTGGTGCTGCGGCTTGTTGTGCTGCCGGCCTTGGGGAGCTCCGATGCGTGCTGCCCTGCGTGAGTCGAAGGTGGAGTGAGATAGGAAGAGGCAGTGCAGCCCCTAGGACATCGTGGCGTGGAGCTTGTAGCCGCCAGCGACTTCTGTACTTGGAGAAGCTCCATCCAGGTGAAAACCTGCATGTACAGACGCACGTCTTTGATGTCTCCAGGCAACAAGCCTTCAGTTCATTTTAATGTTTGCACTTGATGTGCAACTCTTACAGGGAGGCCTGCGAGAGACTGAGGGGGC